TTTTTGTGTGTCTTTTGAGATTATCATGTAGATTTTTTCTTTATTCTATTAATATATAATTTTTTATTTTCAGATGTTATATTATTTTACAGACCTCAGATAAAATCAGTTGTTCATAGTGTGTAACTCTTTTCACATGTTGCTGGATGTGGTTTGCTAATATTTTATTGATGATTTTTGTGTCCATATTTTTAATGAGAAAAATTGGTCTGATTTTTTTTTCCATATATATATATTTTTTTGGCTTTGGTTCCAGGGCCAAATATAATTTTGAGTAAATTAATTTTTGATTGCAGTCCTATCAGTTTTTGATTCATGTATTTTGAAACTGTTTTTAAATACATGAATTTTAGGATTGTGGAGCTCTGGTGGCGTAGTACCTAAGGCATTTGACTGCTAACCAGAGGCTGGCAGTTCAAACCCACCAGCCACTCCTGGGAGGGAAGGTTGGACAATCTACTTCCAAAGTGATACCACCTCAGGAGCTCTGGTAGCGTAGTGCCTAAGGCATTTGACTGCTAACCAGAAGGCTGGCAGTTTGAACCTACCAGCCACTCCCCAGAAGAAAGGTTGGGCAGTTGACTTCCATAGTGATACTGCCTCAGAAACCCAAGGAGGGCTCACTGTGAGTCGGGTCTGACTCAATGACAAATAACAACACCTTGGAAACCCAAGAAGAGTCGGATCTGACTCAGTGCCAGTGAGTTTGGTTATTTGGTATGTTCTCTTTAAGAATCAACCTCTTTATTTTTATAAAGTCATAGTCTTTGCTGTGAAATCTGATTTTTCTGATATTAAAATAGCTACTCAGCTCTTTTTGGTTTAGTGTTAGCATAATATATCTTTTCCATTCTCTTATGAATGTATTTTATGTGTATATATATTGTTGTTGTTGTTATTTGCCATCGAGTCAGCCCCGACTCACAGCCACCCCTCCTTGGGTTTCTGAGGCAGTATTACTATAGAAGTAGGATTGCCCAACCTTTCTTCCAAGGAGTGGCTGGTGGGTTTGAACCGCCAGCCTCCTGGTTAGCAGTCAAGTGCCTTAGGCACTATGCTACCAGAGATCCCGTGTGTGTGTGTGTGCGTGTGTGTGTGTGTGTGTGTGTATATATATATATATATATTAACATATATATATATATCTTAACATATATATATGTGATAGTATATATCTTAACTAATCACCAACTATTTTCAAATTATGGTACTTCATGTATAGTGTAAGAACCTTACAATATTAAACTTCTGTTTCTACTCTCCAGCCTTTGTGCTGTTGTATTAATAAATTTAACTTGCGTATATGTTATAAACTAGCAATACATGGTTGTTAATTTTGCTTTAAAAAAACTTTTAAAAATTAAGAACACATTTTTTTTTTTCCAATTGTGATTTAGGTAAAAGTTTATGGAGCAAATTCATTTTCCATTCAGCAGTTCATACACATTTTGTCTCATGACATTGACTACAATCCCCACAATGTAACACCTTTCTTCCCACTTCCTCCCTGTGGTAACCTCTTCCCTGTGTCTTTCTTTCCTGTGTATTCCTGTACCCTGAGCTATCTCCCTGTGCAAATACTGCCCTTCTGTTCTCCCTTGATTGATCTTTCTAAGGAATGTATCTTCTTGTTATGTTCCATGGAGTCATCTCCAACTCATAGGGATATTATGTGCAACAGAATGATACATTGCCTGGTATCTACCTGCAAGCGTATCTACCTGATGTAAATGTTCACTATATATGCCTATCTATCATTTGACTGGAAGCCTCGGGAGTGAGTTCAATTCTGGGCCTGACGGGTAGGTAAGGGCCATAGTCTTGGGGGTTTCACCAGGCTCTATTAGACCAGTAAACCTGGTCTTTTTTTGTTTTTTAATGAAGAACACATTTTTAAAATATATAAGCACATATATATTATTTTTGGTGTTAATGATCTAGCTTTCCATCTGATAATCTTTTGTTTTCATTCAAAGGACTATGAAGCATTTCTTATAGTGTAAGTCTGCTTATGATATATTCTGTCATACTTTGTATATTTTCAGTTCTTTATTATGTCTCTGTTTTTGAAGGGAGCTCTGGTGGTGTAAAGCCTAAGGCATTTGACTGCTAACCAAAAGGCTGATAGTTCAAACCAAAGCTGTCTTTCAATTTACACTGTTTCCAACATGAACTTTGTTGTTATTCTTACCTTAATATTTATGTTTATAATACATAATTCTCCTCATTTTTAAGATTTTCTATCATGGTTTTAAGCAAACCCGTTGATTAAAATGATTTTTTATGTTTCTTGTGCTTGGGCTTTATTGAACGTTTTGTATCTATGGATTTATAGCTTTTAGCGAATTTGGAAAATTTTCAGCCACTATTTCTTCAAATATTTTTTTGCTTCCCTTCTTTATGGATTGAAATTACGTGCAAATTAGTCCACTTATAATACTATCATCATTTACTGATGCTCTCTTCAATTTTTTTTTCAGGTTTTTTTTTTCCTCTTGGTTTTTTATTTTATATGGACATATATTGGTATGTGGGAGCTCTGGTGGCATAGTGCCCAAGGCATTTGACTGCTAACCAGAAAGCTGGCAGTTCAAACCCACCAACCACTCCTCAGAAGGAAGGTTGGGCAATCTACTTCTGTAGTGATACCGCCTCAGAAACCCAAGGAGGGGTTGCTCTGAGTTGGATCTGACGTGACAGCAGTGAATTTTTTTTTAATTGGTGTGTCTTCATATTCACTAATTGTATCTTCTTTGGTGTCTAATCTGCTGGTAATCCCATTCAGTATACTTTTTATTTCAAACATTTTATTTATCTATCATCATTTAAGTCATCTTTATATCTTATCTGTATTTACTAAACATGCTCAGTCTTTCTTCTGTCATCTCAAATGTATGGAATATAGTTAAAATACTTTTAGTATCTTTGTTTCCCAATTCTGTCATCTGTGTCATTTCTCAGTTAATTTCTAATTGATTTTTCTGATTAGAGTTGTAATTTTCTGCCTGTTTGCATCCTTGGTGATTTTGTTTGGATTCTATACATTGTGACTTTCATCTTTTTGGTTGCTGGAAATTTTTGTATTCCTGTAAATAGGCCTGAGCTTTGTTCTGAGGTGCAGTTTAGTTACTGGAAAGAGTGTGAACTTATTCAGGTTTGCTTTTAAGCTTTGTTATGGAGGACCAGATAGGCCTTTTGTCTAGGGCTAATTTTGTCTCAGGAGCTCTGGTAGCATAGTGGCTAAGACACTTGCCTGCTAACCAGACGGCTGGCGGTTCAAACCCACCAGCCACTCCTCGGAAGGAAGGTTGGGCAATCCTACTTCTGTAGTGCTACTGCCTGGGAAACCCAAGGAGGGGTCGCTATGAGTCAGGGCTGACTTGACGGCACATAACAACAACAACAATTTTGTCTCACTCCTGATGTCAATCCTTCTCATTGAGGATCTTCCTCTTTTTCACTGACCCTCTACTTTACCAAGCATGATGCCCTTTTCTATAGATTGATCCTTCCTATTTAATACACATAAAAGGTTAATGTACATAATGAGTGTATCCTTAACTATTTAGTCTACAATTTTAAAAGAATTTTGGTATAATAAAATAATATGATTCTGACCAAAATAGGGCTCTTACTGAGAAACTGTTGGATCATCATCTGTTAACATTCATGTACAAGACAGTAATCACTGTCTTCTTAATATCAAACTTAGCATCATGGGTCACAGGTACTGTGTTTTCTCTCTCTGTCCCCTATACGTGACATAGTATCTGAAACCCTGGTGCTCATTCAATATTGATAAATATCTTAGAAAAATAAAATTGACTTATTAGTCAAAATTTTAGCAGTTCATGTGCTTTCTTTCTAAATTTCTTTGATACCTCAAAGAACACCAAACACCACTAAATAAATTTGTAAATTGTTACTTGCAACAAAATAAAAAAATCTTGATTTCTAATTATTTCCTATCATAGCTTTGACTTTTGTTTACAAATTAGACTCAACCTAGAAGAAACTAATCTGGAAATTAGATTCTAATGAAAAGGCTTTACAAGGTACCTAGGAGCTTTGGTGGTGTAGTGGTTAAAGCATTCTTCTGCTAACCAAAAGCTGCACAGAAGCAAGATAAGACTGTCTGCTTCCATAAATATTTACACCCTTGGAAACCCTGAGTAAGTTCTACTCTGTCTTATAGGATCACTGTGAGTTGGAATAGACTCAATAGCAGTGGGTTTGGTTTTGGTTTTGGTTACAAGGTACCTAGCTGAACTTTTAAACCTGATTCACCTTATCTCTTGCCTTTATTACCTATATATGGATTTCTATTTATATTGCTGTTCTTTGAGAATTTCATAGTTATTTTTATGTCATCATTATGCTGAGAAATATCTAGTATAATATATTCATGATTATTTGATTTGATGTTTAAAATTGGAGATAATTTTCTCTGTACAATCTTCAAAATATCTTTCACTGGTGAATGTAGCAGCAGTGACGTACACTAGTTGTCTAAGTTATTCACTAGATCATACTATAGAGGATATACTATAAGTTGGTCATATTTTGTTTTGTTAAAATAACAGTAAATTGAGCCCATACAATAATATTAAATGTTGAAATATTGAACTGAGTGTAGATTATTTTTATACTAAATAAGGCATTTTATACTAAGAAGAGCATATTAGACAAATTTCTACCCAAAGCAATATTATTTAAATTTTAAAAATAAAAACATAGTGACCCCTCCTTGGGTTTCCAAGATGGTATCTCTACAGAAGTAGATTGCCTAGTCTTCCTTCCAAGGAGTGGCTGATGGGTTTGAACCTCCAGTCTTCTAGTTAGCAGTCTAATGCCTTAGGCACTACACCACCAGAGTTCCTTGAAAGGTACATGTTGGTAGCTACTCAATATATTCCCTAAGATTTTAACTTTAAGTAAGTGTTCCTAAGTGGAAATGCTTTATGTATTTCTTGCTAAATATGTTTTCATTTATCACAAAGTCCAGGAAATGGGAATCCTCTTACTGAAAGACCTGCTATAATTATGAGTGAAGATTGTGGAAGCATGAATGAAAGAAGAGAGTCGGACTTCATTACTGAAAAACAAATAGTACAACCTTTATGGGGAGAAAGCAGAAGAGCGATTTTAAATTGTTTTGAAGATGTGAACCAGCCCATCCCTAACATTCTATCAGAGAATTGTGACTCTCTCATTGGTCAAAATATGATCAATCTATTAAACTTCGATCAACAGAGGATAAAAGAAAACAATGACGAATACAGCTTTGACACAATGGGAAATATTTGTGCAATTACTAGTTCTAATAAAAACTGTTCTACTGATAGGTGTATTAGGAGTATTTTTACAGTTCCAGAGTTGACTTTTATTAATTCTGCTTTAAATAAAACAAACTTCCCTGAAAAGTTTCAGCCAAAGAAAAACTATAAGAAAGAGTACAACAATAATGAAAGAAATAATTTTAGTACCTCTTCTGAGAAGTATTGTTACCTAGCCAGCTCTGAAAAAACAGGTTGGTGTCATACTTGGAAATTATAGTAATGTATTTTCACATAAATAATGTGCACATTACAGTGTTGTTGTTGTTTCTTGCAAACCCCTCATACATTAGTATTCTATGGGCGCTATCCCCATTATATGCATATGTGCATCTTCTTGGGTGTATGTTTATATGGGAAAATACAGTAATCTTATATTTTTCCTTATATGTATGTATTTGTGTGTGTGTGTGTGTGTGTGTGCTTGGAGGATTATGAAATCAGAGAGAATGACTTTATATTATTTGACAGTGTCGTTTGGTCATTTCTCTCTGTATGTATCATGCTAATAAGCTTGAAATTAAAAAAACAGAAAAGTGCTAAATTTTGAGTTCAACGCATACTTTTATTTTTTAAGGAAAATATGAAAATAGTTACCAAGAGAAGATACCACTGAAAAAAATGCAGAAATACCCAGTGAACAATATGTAAGTTTTTAGGTAAACTGGAGACAAATCAGTATCTAGTATAATGCAGGTTGAATTGACACAAATTGAGGTAGGCATATTGCTGAAGGTGGGCTGATTAGCCTCAATGAAGCTCTATCACAAGTGTGATAAAGTCTTGGTGATGTCACCCTTGTTGAGAGTATGGTGCTCATATCTGCATCCAGAAATAAGCTTATGTGAACTGATTAAATTTCAAGAAGTGGACTGATGTGTTTGAGAAACTTATATAGTCACCAGAATGCCAATATATTTATTTATAGTAATAATAGAAGGATAATATGTATAGGAATATTTCCTGGAGTAATAAGTATATTTTCTTACTTTCAGAAGCTTCCATGGGAAGGTTGTTTTGTTAGTATAGAATCAACAATAAAGGGGGCTATAGTAGCATAGTGGCTAAGACACTTGCCTGCTAACCAGACGACTGGCGGTTCAAACCCACCAGCCACTCCTCGGAAGGAAGGTTGGGCAATCCTACTTCCGTAGTGATACTGCCTCGGAAACCCAAGGAGGGGTCGCTATG